AACCTAAAAAAGGTGGGGAAATAGAGAAACATCTTCAGGATAGAATCAGACAAACACACAAAACAGTTTTCCATTGCCTTTATTCCAAAGGATTTGTATCTGTCATATGCCTGAAATAAAACAGAAGAAATTGTGGGGAAGAAAATGATTCTTTCATCATGCTTTGTCTCTCTATCACTGTGGCTTCCCTAATTTTACCAATTATAGCAAGGGTAGAGGTAGAACTAGAGGCAGAGATAGAGATGAAAAAAAAATATATTAACACCATAGATAAATTATCACTGCCCTATTCTCAGGCCCAACTTTGGGAAAGTAATTGTATCGATCGATTCTGCTACTTCCTCCTGTGTTAGTTTGCTAGGGCTACCATAACGAACTACTACATTCTTGGTGACTTAAATAACAGAATTTATTGTCTCTCAGTTTGGAAGACTAGAGGAAGTCAGAGATCAAGGTGTCAGCAGAGTTGGGTTCCTTTGAAGCATCAATGGAAGGATCTGTTCCAGGACTCTCTCCTTGGCTTATGGCTGACCAGCTTCTCCCTGTGTCTTCCTTCAGTACCTGTGCCCAGATTTTCTCTTCTTACAAGAATAACAGTCTTACTGCATTAGAGCCACCACTAATGACCTCAATTTAATTAATTACCTCTGTAAAGACCCTGTATACAAATATGGCACATTCTAAGGTCATCTGGGTTCAGATATCAACATGAATTTTACAGAGACACAATTCAGCCATTAACTGATTAATCCTCTAATAGTGAGCATTGTTCATACAAAACTTAATAAAGTTGTTATAGAGTTTTGTGTATAATAACCCACAAAAAGTTATGAAGTAAAGATTTTAACTTTTTATACTAATCTTCATCTTCCTTCCTTGTCTCATATTTTATATGTATTTAATAATATAATTAAAATTCTATACCAAATGTTTTATGTTCTATATGGATAATATCTTTTTTTCTTGTGCCACCCATGTCCCCCTTTATTTGAAGAGACAGAATCTTTTTGGACACCCAGGCTGGAGTGCAGTGGCGCAATCATGGCTCACTGCAGCCCAGCCTTGACCTCCCAGGTTAAGTGATCCTCCTATCTAAGCTTCCCAGCCCAGTAGCTTGGACTATAGCCACACCCACTCTGACTAGATTTTTAAATTTTTTGTAGTGATGAGGTCTCCTGGTGTTGCCCAGACTAGTCTTAAACTCATGGGCCCAAGTAATCCTCCTACCTCAGCCTCCCAAAGTGCTGGAATTACAGGAATGAGGCACTGCACCTGATCTCTTGCCCTTTTTTCAGATTTGTTTTCCTCTGAATTTCATTTTGATTAGTGGTGGTTCACAGAATAAGTATATGCCTTTTTATTATTTCCATTAAGATAAAAATCCAGTTTCTTCTTAAAGATACTGTACTCTGAGTTGGCTGAATTGTCTGAATTTCTGTGAGAATTTGAACAAAATTATTTCTTAATATGTTGTGGGAAGTCCTGGGGACCCCTGGCACTGGAGGAACTGGCTGAAGCCATGGCAAGAAAAACATAGGTGTGAAGATTTCATGGACATTTATTAGTTCCCCAAATTAATACTTTTTTATAATTTCCTTATGCCTGTCTTTGCTTCAATCTCTGAACATAGGTGTGAAGATTTGCCATGGACACTTATGCTTCCCAATCAATACCCTTGTGATTTCCTATGCCTGTCTTTAATCTCTTAATCCCGTCATTTTCTTCGTAAACTGAGGAGGATGAATGTTGCCTCAGGACCCTGTGATGATGATTGTGTCAACTGCACAAATTGTTTTGTAGAGCGTGTGTGTTTGAACAATGTGAAATCTGGGCATCTTAAAAAAGAACAGGATAACAGCGATGTTCAGGGAACAAGGGAGGTAACTGAACTGGCCGCCGGTGAGCCAGACAGAACAGAGCTATATTTCTCCCCTTTCAAAAGCAAATAGGAGAAATACCGCTGAATTCTTTTTCTCAGCAAGGAATATCCCTGAGAAAGAGAATGTGCCCAGAGGGTAGGCCTATGAATGGCCCCCTCAAGGCGTGCCATCTTTTATGGTTGAAACTGAAGGGATGAAATAAGCCCGGTCTCCTGTAGTGCTCCCCAGGCCCCATTGGGACGTGGAAAATTCCCGCCTAATAAATTTTGGTCAGACAGGTTGCCTGCTGTCAAACCCTGTTTCCTGATAAGGTGTTATTAATGACAATGTGTGCCGAAATTTCATTAGCAATTTTAATTTCACCTCATCCAGTGGTCCTGTGATCTTGCCCTGCCTCCATTTGCTTTGTGATATTTTGTTACCTTGTGAAGTATGTGATCTCTCTGTGACCCCACACCCTGTTCGTGCACTCCCTCCCCTTTTTTGAAAATCGCTAATAAAAACTTGCGGTTTGGGAACATCACGGATCCTGCCGACATGTGATGCCTCCCCCGACCACCCAGCTTTAAAATTCTCTCTTGTGCTCTTTCCACTTTATTTTCTCAAACCAGCTGACACAGGAAATAGAAAAGAACCCACTTTAAACATCGGAGATTAGGTTCTCCCGATATTAATATATGTCACAATACTCAGCATTCTTTCAATTACCTTTTAATTAATTCTATATATCTTTCCTGCCCAGTCTTGCTTTGTTTTCGTATTTTTTTTAAGTTAGGCACCATAATTAACTCTTTATTACTATTATACATTTTACAAAACTATTGACTTAGTCTTATACTGTTGTTTTTCCTGCATACAGAATTCCAGTCTTAAAATATTTCCCCACTAGAATTTACAATTAACATCTAATGTTGCCAATTAAAAAAATGCTTGGCAACCATGCGAATCTAATTTATTTGTAAATACCTTCTTTATGTTCCTCCTTCCACAGAAATTCATTGCAGTACTCTGATATAAAGGGCCCTGAAATTTATTAATGGGAATTAGCTTTCATGATGATAGAAGATGAGAAGTCCCAAGATTTGAAGTCAGAGCTAGGTGGAGACCCAGGAAAGCCAATGTGTAGCTCCAGTCCAAAAGCTGGTAGGCTCAAGTCCCAGAAGTTGACATTTAAGTCCAAAAACCAGAAAAGACCAATGTCTCAGATCAAAGTATTTAAGCGAGAAACTTCAGCGTTTTTGTTCTACTCAAAGCTTCAACTGATTGGATGAACCCCACTCATATTAGGAAAGGCAATCTCATAACTAAACTACCAACTCAAATGTCAATCTCATCCAGAAACATCCTCAAAGATACAGCCAGAATAATGTTAGGTCAAGTGTTTAAGTACACATGCCCAGTCAAGCTGACACAAACTATTAACCATCACAGGTAGCAAACACGTTTATAGTAATTTTTATTATTCTTACATTGTATATCATATTATTTATGCAGTTGATTCTTGTTCTTAGCAGTTATGTTCTATAGCATAGTTACTAACTGAATTAGTGAATACTAGAACATTGCTTCTAGGGAAACTACAAGTTTAGATTTTTGTGGTATTTTATTCAACATATCAATATATAACTTTGCTTTATGTGTGTTTTTCCTTAAAGCCATTTTATGCAATGTAGTATTGACTCATAAACATCGAGCTCATGGTCAACAGCATTATAACTCATGCTTCATTTAAGCTTATCTAACACAAGTACAGTATGTTCTGCATAACTCACATTACTATATCTGTCTTTGTGCTTGAGAACACCAGAGAAAGCACTTCCACAGCATTATATTTCAAGCCATTTAAGCAGCAAAATGCCAACAGAAAGTAAAAGATGTAAAAAATGTGATACACAGACTACATAAAGAAGGATACTTTTTAAAAAAAAAAATTACAGTTAATATAAGACAACAGAGCTGCCTTAACTTCAATGTGCACTCAAGCAGCCCAAATTTCCACCACAACGAATTTATATATTGGCAAAAGTATCTTTGGCAGTTTTTGATGTTTACAAATAAATCTTAGCTAGCATGTGCATTCTCAAATACAGAATTCACAAATAATGAGGCTCGAATGTATATATTACTATTTCACAGGTGCTATTATAAGCATGTATCTTCTTTAACTTACAGTAAGCCTGGGATCTACTGCTGTTTATCTCTGTTTTGGAGATTAGGAAGATTTGCTCAGAGGTGATTAAGTGGTGTCACAGAGGAATAAAGCTAGTAAGGAGGAGTGTGGGATCTAGGAAGGGAGCTGACTCTGGATACTTGAGCTCAATCTCTCAATCTCTATGCCTTTCCAAGATCAACCTGAAAATGAGTTTCTTTACTTTTACCAAAATATTTGATTCAAAAATATTTTATCCAACTCTTCTTAGATTAAGAACATGTTACCATAATTTAAATAGCAGACAAATACAAGGATTAGGTCTTGTTAATAATTTGGTTAAATACAAGCATTTGTTTTAAAAAAATGTGAAACATGAAAAGACAAATACAAGGATTAGGTCTTGTTAATAATTTGTGGTTAAATACAAAACATTTGTTTGAAAATGTGAAACATGAAAACATAACTTACTATTTTGTAATCAACTCTTTTAAACAATATTATTATTTAGCAATTTATAAAAATTAAACATTTAAATTAGTTGAAAAATAAATGGTAAGTGTGTGATTATAAGGAAGTTTTGCAAATTTCACTGCAAATAAATTAATAATTAAGCACGTTTTAAATGTGGGTGCTTGTTGAATTATCTGCTTTTGTTGTAAGTTGTGATCAAACATGATTTATTTGCTTAGAAGCTTTTTATTCCTCCTTCAAAATCATCCTACTTTTTATTCAAATTATAAACATTCAGGTTACCAACTGTTTGAAGAATTGAATTTCAATTTGAAATTGACATAAAAAGCTATTACATTGTATATAAAAATTCATAAGCACCAAGCTGAATTTGACAGAGGTGTCGTGGAAGGACGTGCCTGGCAAAGCCCCTTCCTCTGTGCAGGCACCCAGCGGGCCCCTCCCACAGGGCACCCTCAGTCCTGCGGAGGAACCCGGGGAGGTGGGGTCACCCTGGCTAGGGATGAGGACTCTGAACCAAGGCCACAGTCTTGGGCATGATCACATCCGTGGAAATGCTTCGTAAACTGTAAAGTGCGGTGCCGCAGGTCCAGGTGTGGGATGTTCCCTAAATCACCACCGCAGTGAAGGGGAGGACTGGTAGTGCTGAGGGAGCAGCTGTCTGGGAAAAGGCCTCCCACACCCTGAGGCCAGAGTCAGGCTTCCTTTCAAAGCTAGCCCTGTTTCCCGTCCTTTTCCTGCCTCGACTGGGCTGTCGGGGGCTGTTTGGTCATTGCCAGGCATGGGGCCCTCAGCGTCCACAGGTCTTGGATTTCATTTCTGGGGGCAGCCCTGAGAGGTCGCGTCATCCCCTCATCAGACGGAGGGACACAGTGGGCCCAACTGACCCAGCAAGGTCTGCTGGACCGGGGTCCTGTGCGTTTTGCTGGCCACAGTGGCCCAGCGAGGTGGCCTGCTGGAGGGTGGGGTGGGTTTGGGGCGGACGTTACCTAGAGTCTGCGAGTCGAGATCATCATCTATAAACTCCTCACCCTGGACAGCGCCCTGGACGTCCTCACTGTGGCTCACAGTGCTGGTCATCTCCTGCTCCTTCTCATTGTGCATTTGGGCATACACGGTCCTGCCCGGCCGTTTCCTGCTGGACAGAGGCGAGGGCGGCTCAGATTGGGGCGGCTTCCCAGGCCGCCTGTCCCTGGAGCCTTCTGCTGGCCGCCTGGCCACATCGAGTGTGGTGCACGGTGCCCACAGCACTCCAGAGGTGCCTATCCCAGCCCCAAGTCTTGCCTCCTGCCCCATCTCTGCTCAAAGCCACTTCCTCCAGGAAGCCCTCCCTCCTGTGTGCTCCCTAGGCCCTGGGATTCCCTCTGCCCTGACACATTGGGTGATCACTGTGTATCTGTCGTCTCCCCTGAGAAGTGAAGCACGGGCGTGTTGCAGAGAAAGGGCCTTATATCCTCTTTCCCCCCAACCCCCACGCCTGGCCACCCTGCCACTGGGCTGGGCACACATTCCCACAGGAGGCACGAGCCAGCCCAGCTCTGAGAGGCACTTGCTGAGCCCCGTCCAGGCGTCCTGGGGAAGTGCTGTCCTCGATTTCCCAGTGAGGAAAGGGAGAGGGTGGGCACAGCCCCGCTGCCTCCACTGGGACCAGGCTCAGGACCCGCTGTGGGCCAGGCTCCTTCATGCACAGCACCCCACTTAGTCCAATCGAAACCCAGGGCCAGGGTCCCATATCACAGATGAGGGGACTGAGACCCAGTGGGAGAGGGGGACTTTCTCAGATGCAGTTGATGAACACCCCCACTTAGTCCAACCCAGGGCCAGGGTCCACAGATGAGGGGACTGGAGAACGAGGGGGACTTTCTCAGATGCAGTTGATGAACACTGCCAGCCCTCTGGAAACACTTTGACGGCAGGATGGGGCGTGGGGTGGACTCCAGGCTAGCTCTGAGGGTGACAGAATTGTGGCGCCAGCAATACCTACAGGTGCCACACTTCACCACTGATTAAATGCTCAAAGCAGCCCTGCTCCTCAGTCTAGAGCCTCGAGAGATGAGGGCCCAGCCCTGCTGGACCCCAGGGACAGGTGGCTGACGCTTTGACCGTTGTCCGTGCTGCCCAGCCCAGCCTCAAGGCAGAGTAAGCCAGGAGCTCCTGGTGCAGGCTGCACCAGAGCCTACCTCCGCCGCAATGGGCATTGCTCTGAGCAGATGGAGTCAAGCATATTGGGCACTTCAAGGTTTATGCCTAATACATTCAGCTCCCAGAGTTGGAGTCACAGCCCTGGGGCTTGTCAGCATCAACACAGCTGCTTTTGTTTCCAGGGGCAGGAGGGGCTCTGCTTCAGGACCTGCTCCGGGCTCTGCCGGGGCTCAAAGGCCGCCCCTGCCACCTCCTTGCTGTGACAAACCCCACTTGCAGTGGCCATGGGATACAGGTTAGGGAGAGAGCACACGGGAAGGAGGTGGGATCCTGGCCTGGGCACCTGGCAGAGGACAGTGTCATTTGCTCAGCACCAGCTTTAGGGGAAGAGGATGCTGAGTTTGATTTGAATTTGCAGTGCCTATGGAACCGCTGCATACACCTGTTGGGAAGCCAGTGCCTCTCTGAGTTTGGAATTTGGGAAAGACCACAGGTCAGACCTTATTCTACTTCTTTGCCCCACAAACTTCTATTCATCCTTCAGGATCCCCACCAGAAGTCACTTCCTCAGGGAAGTCCTCCCAGATTCTCCAGTTCAGCTTTGAGTGCTGCAGGCTAACCCTTCGGGTGGAACTGACTAATAAGGTGGGTAAGGAGCTCCTGGATGTGCTCCCAGACAGTCAGTGCTGTGTCCCAGTGCCTGGGCCAGCCTGTGGTAGGTACACATGAAACTACTACTCGAAAGACCCGCAGTACATAAAACAGTGAGACCCGGGGCAGGAGGAGGGGTTGGGGGAGTCCAGGGCCCATGAAAGCCTGGGATTTGGTGTCAGGGAAGGGCTCAAGCCTCCAAATAAGCCAAAAGGAAGGGGTGAGCTGTAGCCTTTGATGGTCCTCAAGGGTGACCCTGATGGGGAGACTGAGGCCCCCGGAGCTGAACCAGCAGGCAGGGGAGAAACAACAGGGCCAAATCTGGGAGCCATGTTTGCAGGGAAGGAGTCTGGGGATGCCGCTGTGTCACTTTGCTCATTCCAGGTTTAGCATCCAGGGAACTTCAGGTTGTCCAGCCCCTGTAGGGTGGCCATGACATGTCCCAACGTGGGGGGATCACACCCATTTCACAGCCAGGGAATAGGCTCAGAAGGAAAGAGAGGTACGAAAGCCCCTCCCAGTAAACACACACTGTTCTTGCCACCTCACCCCAGCCTCGGCACAAGCAGCTCCCTCATGGGGACAGCCAGAGCTCTACCCCACAGGAGCGCCTGGCAGGAAGCTCAGCAGCTCTCAAGCGCTCTCGAGGTGGGGGAAGGGATGGTTGGGCGGCCGGGGAAGCCTGGGATGCGGGCAGGCCTGGGTCAGGTCCCAGCTCTGAGGCTGGCCGTCTGTGTGACCTTGGGCACACTGCTTAACCTCTCTGAGCTCAGTTTCCTCATCTGTGAGATGGGCAGTGTCCTCCCTGTGAGGTGGGTGGAGCTGAACGGGACGATGGCTGGCATGTCCCGGACAGAGTGGAGGAGTGGGTGCGCGATGCTCTCTGGGTTTCGAGTGGCGGCCGTCTCTTCCAGAGACCCCACAGGTGGTACAGAGCCAGGCAAGCACTTCCCACTGTAGCCCATCAGAGGCACAAACTGTCACCACTCCCTTCTGAAGCCCTGCTGGGGCCTTTTCTAGATCTGCCTGAGTGAGTTGGGCCTGGCATCCTAAGCCCCATGGTCAGAGCCCAGCAGATGAGGGCAGCCAAGGGCCTTGCCTTTTGAACTTGTAGAGGATGAACGCTCCTGCCGTGAAGAGCCCGATGACAAACAGCACCACTACTGCCCAGTAGCCACCGCCGCCGCCCAGCTGCTCAGCACCTGCAAGCAAAGCAGTTGTCAGTGGAGGACCATGGGCACCACCCATCCTTGTCCCATCCCCAGCCCATCCCGTCTGTCCCCCGCCCTTCCCCAGCCTGTCCCCCACCCATCCCCAGCTTGTCCCCTGCCTGTCCCTGGCCCCTTTCCTGCCTGTCTTCAGCCCATTTCCATTCCCTCCCCAGCCCTTCCCCAGCCCGTTCCCTGCTCAACCCCTTCCTGTCCCCTGCCTGTCCCTGCCCGTCCCCTGCCTGTCCCTGCCTTTCCCTTGCCTGTCCCTGCCCCAGCCTCCTTGGTGTGGAGGCTGCTCCATGCCTGTGGCCAGCACTCCTGATGTGGCTGAGAGGGGCCAGAGGCCATAAAAGACCAGGAGTGCGTCCTGTGTGGCCTTGGAGAAGTCCCTGCCTCTCGACCTGGCTCCCACTGGGGACGGAGACTGTGGGCAGAGCTCCCTGGCCATGTTGATGCTGGTGTGGGGTGAACCTGCCAAGTTTCAAGGGCACGGTGTCTTTACAAAGCAGAGAAAAGCTCATCAGCTTCTGCAAAGGCTGTTGCCCCAAAGGGGAAAGGATGACTGACGGCCGAGGAGACAGCTCTGTGGGTCAGGAAAGGGGCAGAGATTATCTGAGACCCGAGGCGTGGGTGTCAGGTAAGAGCAGTGCTCCATGGGACATCCGCAGAGGACAGTGGGGCCCTGGGTCTGACCTGGGTGGGTTCTCAGTTCCATCAGAGGCGAACACCCACCAGGAGGGGGACTGCGGGCCCCATCTGCCTGAGGCCTCACAGGGACAATACCTTCTCCAGGGCCTGGATGCCTCCTCTACCTGTTCTGCAGGGGAGCTCCCAGGGGCTCACCTGTGCCTGTGTCCTCAGGGCCACAGGACCGGACTCCACCTCCTTGGGAGGAAGCTGATCTTCTGTGCATTCAGCACCTGCTGGATGGCGGCGGGAGGCCTGCAAGCACAAGGGGACAGTGGGGGCCTCCATGAGGAGTCCTCTGCCAAAGGGGAGGGTATGGAGGTCCTCCTCCAGGAAGGGAGTATGAGGGAGTCTCCACGTGTTGGGAAGTCTTCTACCCAGGAGAAGAGTGGGAGTCCTCATGGGGGTGGGAGGGTTTGCCATAGGTGTAAAGGGAAAGAAGGGCCCTTCTCTGGTGGAGAGTGAGGGTGTCTTCCATCAGCGGGGAGGGAGCAAGGTCTGCCAGAGATCCAGAGGGGTGAGAGGAGGAGGTCCCACTTTAAGGATCTACCAGAGGGGGGTGGGGAAAAGGGAGGGGATCTGGTGGGATCACACAGAGGTAGGGAGAGAGGTGGGGTGGCTCATGGGATCCACCCCAGGGAGGCAGGAGGCTGGGTGGACAGGTGAGTCCTTGAGACTCTCTGGAGCTATGTGGGGCTGGGTGACCACCTGGCTCACTGAGCCTCGGTGTCTCGCAGCCTGCAGAGATAATCACCCTGAGGAACTTTCATCAGGAACCATGGACGGGACACAAAGGTGACCCAGACATGGCTCTGCCCTTCACGAGCTCTTGTTTTAGTTGGGAATGTAAAGAGAGATACAGGCCACAGGTGTGCAAAGTTAGAGAAATGCAGGGGTGCTCCAGGAGGCTCCATCCCAGTGGTCGGGGAAGGCTTCCTGGAGGTGGAAGCCAAGAAGAGAGGAGTAGAGACAGAGGCAGGACAGGAGAATCAAGACCCCCTGTGCAGGGAGGGATACCCAGGAGGTGGTGCTGGAGTTTATAGGGTGAGGATACAGGTAGGGGCACCTATAGCTGAAGGCCAGTGGCGTGGACTGATGTGTAGGCCACAGCGTCCTCACTCGGGGGTCTACGCCGCGTGACAAATGTGTAGAGTGCCCGGGCGCAGAGGAGCGCTCCCTCCTTGCCCCTCTCACTTCCTTCACAGCCCCCTCACTGCCTGGATCTGAGTCATCACCAGAGGCAGGTGGGCACGGAAGACCGGCTCCGCCTTTCACATGCTGGTCGCTCTGCTATTTTGATAGTAACCATTCTAGCAGAGTGTAGAGCCATATCTCACTGCTTTTTAATAGACATTTCCCTATTGATTCAGGAATGGTAACATGTTTCCACATACCTATTGTGTTTGTGTTGTCTCCCTTTGAGAAATATCCTTGACATTTCCCTGATGATTCGAGATGGTGAGCATGTTTTTCACATACCTGTTGGCCATTTGTGTGTCTCCCTTTGAGAAATATCTGCTTGGCTCCTTTGCCCGTTTTTTAATCGGGTCACTTGTTTTCTGGCTATGGAGTTGCGTTTCTTACATATTCTGGATGTGAACCCCTTGTCAGGGTATGCTTCATGAATCTTTTCTCCGATTCTGTGGGTCATCTCTTCACTCTGCTGATAGTTTATCTGGCTGTGCAAGGGTCTCTTGGTTTGACATCCCGTTTGTCTGTTTTTGCCTTTGTTGCATGTACTTTTGGGATCATCTGCAAAACAGCATTGCTCAAACTGATGCATAGTTTTTCACTATGTTTTCTTTTGGTGTTTTTCCAGATTCAGGGCTTACATTTGTCTTTAATCCACTCTGAGCTGGATTTTGTAGAGGGTGTAAGAATCTAATTGCATTCTTCTCCATGTGGATATTCAGTATCCCAACAATATTTATGGAAGATATTCTCTTTTCTCCATTGTGTCTCCTTGACAGCCTTATTGAAAATCAATTGACCGTACATGTATGGATTTATTTCTGGGCTCTCTATTCTGTTCCATGGGTCTATGTGTCTGTTTTTATGCCAGTACCATGGTGTTTGGATTACTGTAATTTTGTAGTGCATTTTGAGGCCAGGGACTGTGATGCTTCCAGCTTTTTTCTTTTTGCTCAAAATGGCTTTGGCTATTTCCGGCCTTTTGTGGTTTCATACAAATTTTAGGATTTTTTTTTCTATTTCTGTGAAAAATCTCATTGAAATTTTGAAAGATCTTGCATTAAATCTGTACATCAGTTTATGTAGTATGAACATCTTAATGATATAAATTCTTCTAATCCATGAACACAGGATATCTTTCCATCGATTTGTGTCTTCTTCAAATTCTTTCACTGGTGTTTTATGGTTTTTAGTGCACAAGTTGTGTGCACAAGTTTTTCTACTCTTTGGTTTAATTTGTTCCAAGTTTTCACAAGTTTTTCTAAGTGTCCTTGGTTCAATTTGTTCCTAAGTAGTTTATTTTACTTTTAATTTTTGGATGCATGTTAGTGATTGTTGATTTCTTTTCCAGGTAGCTTGCTGTTAGTGTGTAGAAGCGCTTCTGCTGTTTGATCACCTCTGGTCCTTTCTGACAATGGCTCCTCACCAAGCCACACTTTTGTGTGTCTGTAAAATGGGACGTGGAACCACGTGGCATGCTGGAGGTGCACTCGTCCTTCCCTGCACTGGCCACGCTTCCAGATCACCCTGAGGGAGCACAAACAGTCTCCACAGATCAGTGCAGGCTATGTGAGCTTTTCTGGTTCATTTTTGAAACTGATAGTAACATTTACTCTTTTTTAAAGTGTACAATTTAATGCATTTTTAGTATATTCCCCTAAGTTGTGCAAATAATATTCAATTCTCATTTTCATCCTCTCCCAAAGAATCCCCTAGCCTTAGCAGCAACTCCTCCATGCACTCTCTCCCCCAGCCCCTGGCAACCATTCATCTATTTCTGTCTCTATGGATTTGCCTGTTCTGGGCATTTAATGTGAATGGAATCGCACACTACGTGGTCTTTTGCAACTGGCCTCTTTCACTTAGCATCATGTTTTCAAGGTTCGTTCATGCTGTCAGAGGTGTCAAGGGCTTCATTCCTTTTTGTGGTCAAAGAATATTCCATTGTAAGGTTGGACCACAATTTGTTTCCTCAGCAGCTGATGGGCACTTTTTGGCTGCGATGAGTAATGCTGCTGTGAATCCATGTACTGTGGATGTATGTTTCTGCTTCTCTTGGGTATATACCCACAAGTGGACTTGCTGGGTCATGTGGTAACTTAGGTATAACTTATTGAGGAACTTCCAGCCTGTTTTGTCCAGCAGCTGAACCCTTTCCACCAGCAACGTGAGAGGTTCCAAGTTCTCTGCTTCCTTGTCAATACTTGAAATTGTCTGCTTTTTAATTTTAGCCACCCTAGTGGGCGTGAAGGGATTCTGGTTCATCTTCGAGTCCCCTTCCCACACCTGTCACATGGGAGGTCTTTTATCCCCTCCATGAGGGCTATTTGGAAGCTGTCCTTTGCAATAAAGACATTTGCTAACTGCATGGGGGCTGACTTCTGCTCGGCCCTAAAACCCACATCCTCAGGTGTCTCCCTGACAGTGCTTACCCTCATTTCCCAGTGCCCCTGGCAGTCAGGTTGGGGCCATGTGACCACCTCCAGCCAATGACACGGGAAAGGAAGTGAGCGAGGCCCCCTGGGAGGTGGTGCAGCCTGTGCCCTCCCCCCAACTACACTGCTGTGGTGACCTTAGAGGCTGTGCGACTTCCAGAGGGTGTAGCCACAGGTGGACGATGTCTAGCCACCCTGAGTCAGACTGATGCAGCGAGAAAGACACCTTTATGCCATGAGCCACTGAGACGTCCCTGCTTGTTGTAAATGGCCCGAGCCCCGGGCTGTGCAGGGAGGACCTGGGAGTCCAATGGCCACAGGACATACCTTATCACTCGAGAGGCTCCTCTTCCTCGTGGGCCTGGGAGGGGGCAGGAGCACGTAAAGGTCGGCCAAAGTGGGCAGCCCCGGCTTCAGCACGGTCACCAGCAACTCCTGAGGGACGCTGGTCTCCTGCGGGAAGAATTCAGCCACTTTGGTCCGCTTGTCTTCCTCATCCCCTGCCTCACCCTGGGGCCCCCAAGAACACCCTTTCTTCCTTCTTGGCCTGTCTGAGTCCTGGAGAGCTGTCCCACAGACCATTCCTGACCCCTGCATGGCATGGGGATCGTTCCAGGGTCCCAGGGTGCCCTGAGCTACCTCCTGCACCCAGCTGCCCAGGGCCCTCAGCCTTGCTCTTCAGGCCCTGTGCCCTCACACTGGCCTACCCTTGGCCAGGCCTGGCCCTCAGTCCATTCTTCAGACCATGACTAGAGGGAGCCAGCACCTTCCTCCCTGGCTGATGTCCTCCATGACAAGGCTCTTGACCACACCATTCCAGGTCTATGACCCGGCCCCATTGACTCCAGCCACCTCCCCCTTCCCACTCCCCAACACCCCAGGCCCAGCCAGGGCCGCACACCCACAGAGAATGCTCTCAACCCATAGGCGCTGCTCATGTAGGTGCCTCTGTCTCCTGGAAGTCCCGTTCCACACACTTCCATCTGGCAAACCCCTATTCATCTTTCAGTGCCCAGGACCCTTTTACCAGCATTCTTCACAGGAAGGAGCCTAGTTAGAGTAGGCCTCAGCCTGTGACAGCCTCAGATGGCTCTAGAGGACTGGTCCTCTCTCACAGCGGGGCCAAGGGCCGTGGGTGTGCTACAGCCCACCCTGATGTCTGCCTCCCAGGAGCTCCCTGAGGGCAGTGAGCACACTGGGTCTCTGTTTCGTGTCTAGCCAGGAAGAGAAGTTCAGTGAATGAAGGAAAATTGCTTTAAAGAGACTCTGGGGCACTGGAGGATAGCAGCGGGGTCTCCCGCAAACGGCAGGTGATCCCTGGACTGTGTGTGTGGAGGGTGCCTGTGGTCCCTCTCCTGTGAGGTGGCGCTCCAGCTGCAGGTCCCCCTGAATGAGGGCAGTGCCGCCTGCCCCCCACCCACAGCTTTCAACACCCCCAGCTAGCCCAAAGGCCAGAGCATCGTGTGCGGGGGCAGTGCCACCCGCCTCTCCTTGCCCTGGGTGCCCCGGCGCCCTTGGGCTTCTCTGGATGCCAGAAGTGCTGCAGGGCTGGGGAGGCTCCAAGCTCTGGGTGGACACCTTGGAGAGCTGCCAGGTGACCACCAAGCCCACGTCTTCCCTCCACTCAGGCGTGTTGGGGTTGTAGGCATCCAGCTCCTTGGAAAACTGCAGAGGCACGACCTGAAATTGATCTGGAAAGAGGCAGAGAAGGGAGACTGTTCAGTCCTGAACAGCCTGGCTCAGACGGCTCCAGGGTGGGGGTCAGGGGCAGCCACATGCCCTGGATGGTCCCAGGAGGCCCTTGATTCAGATCCCAGGGCCCAGCAGCCCCATCATCTTCTCAAGCAGGCTGAGAGCAGCCCTGATTTTGTATTTGGAAACCAACTCCTTCCCTGGATGCCAGCAGTGGTGGTCTGTCCCAGACAGGACCCATGTCACTGGCTGCCATCTTATAACAGCAGCGACAAAGATGCCAGTGACGATGACAAAGACGCGCTGACCCAGGAGGGAGGCCTGGTGTGCGCCCAGTCTGCTCTGTGAGATTTGCCTCCTTGACTCACAAGGATGAACACACCCTATGCGGTCAACCTCTCATCCATCAGGGATCCATGGACTTCAACTGGCTGGTCCCCCCAACAGATTAAGAGTCCCTTGAGAGCAGGGGCCCTGTCTTCTTCTCCTTCTCCCACATTTCCCATGGTCCATGGCTCAGAGCCCATTTTTAAAGTCACCAGGGGCCTCAGAGCTAAATTTTAACCTCTCTACTTCTCAGGCCTCAGTTTTCTCACATGTAAAGTGGGAGGAGGCTGTGCGGGGCTGAGGCACTCAAGGGACAAGTGCTTTCAGAACTGCAAATCCAACATCTTACAGTGAGGGTGGTGATGGCCTTTGCAAAGCTCCCAGCCCAGCAATGAATGAAGAATAGCCAAGGGCAGCCTCCTCCAGGGTATGAGGGGCCTGTGTAGGCAGCCCAACCCTCTGTACACTTGTCCAACTAAATATTTAACTGATGGCTGCTGTCCACAGTAGAGGCTGTTCTTAAAGCAAAATGAGGGTTTATTGCTATGATGATGGTGGCAATGAGATCTGCCTCCTTGACAAGGGGACCAATTGGTATTGTAAATATCTCCCACAGATAAATAAGGATGCAGATTCAGAAAAGGAGGCTCAGTGCTTCTACAGACAGGAGTCCTCTTTATGCTGCAATCATGAGACAATGCTCAGGCTTGTCCGGAGGTGCCAAGAGGACAGAGGCCCTAGAGGCAGGCAGAGCCCGTGCCCAAAACTGGCTGTCTTGCTGCTGGGTGACCTTGTCCCTGGTGTGTTGTGTCCCATGAGTGTCTTGGGACACAGGATTTATCAGTATTTATTTTACAGATGGGGAAACTGAGGCCAGAGAGACCAGGAGACTTTGCCCAGGCCACATAGCCAGGGCAGGGCTGTGTATATCCAGCCCCTCCCTCCCCACCCCAGGGCCACCCAGGGTGACCAGCAAATTCATGGCTTATGAGACCCACGTGGCCTGGCCTCCTGGACTGCAGCAGAGATGCAGAGGCCGTGCTGCCAGACCCCAGGAAGGACTCACCCAGCACACGGAGGACCCTGGAGTCCTGCAACACCGAGTTCCCACAGGCGGCCTGCACCGTCACACGCACGTCGCCCGTGTCCGAAAACCGCGTTGTCACAGAATTATCCAGGGAAAGGAGGGGCTGCAGGGACACAGCAGGGCTCAGGGGTGTGGCCGAGTGAGGCAGCGGCCATGGGGGACGCTGGCCTATGGTCGCTGCCTCACTGAGAGCATTGCTGTCCCCTTGTTCCCATCAGCAAATGGGCCTGTTATGGACATCCTGTGGTGGCAGCACCCAGGGAGGTATGGGACGGGCAGCTGGTTCTTTTTTTTTATTTTTTTTTGAGACGGAGTCTTGTTGTGTTGCCCAGGCTGGAGGGCAGTGGCACAATCTTGGCTCACTGCAACCTCCACCTCCTGGGTTCAAGTGTTCTCTCATCTCAGCCTCCCATGTAGCTGGGCCTACAGACATATGCACCACCATGCCCAGTTAATTTTTGTATTTTTAGTAGAGATAGGGTTTCACCATGTTAGCCAGGTTTGTCTCGAAACCCCGACCCCGTGGGCACCTGGTTGTAAGCCAACACAGCACGAACATGAGATCCCAGCACCCCCCTTCCTTCTCGACAGCTCTCCAGGCCCGCCCCCCACAGGCATTTAGGAGGCCTGATGTGGCTGCGGGGCTGGGCCTTCACTCGCTGACCATGTGATCTTCCCATCCCCACATATGGCCACAGCTGTGTGGATGAGCCATGGCTCCGTCATCCATGGCACCAAGCCAGTGCCCAGCTCAGGACCCAGCCGTGGGGATGGTGCACACTCAGTGGGGGTGGGGGGGGCGCCATGGTGACGCAGAGACAGGAGAGTCCACCCCCATAGGTGTGGATATGGAGGCGGAGGCTCTGCCAGGTGAAGTGACATGTATGGAGCATTCAGCTGGAAGTGGCAGAGCCGAGACTTGAACCCAGACCCTGAGCTCCTTCTCAGACCCTCCCCAGTCTAGAGAAACATAATCCAGAGCCCACAGCCCCTCCCCTTGCTGGGCCTCTGTGTCAGGGCGGTCAATTGCTGGTAGGGGGCTTCCTGCCTGGTGGTGCTGGGCTGTTTGCTGAATGAGTGGAAGATGCCCCTCACTGGGTCTTGCCCCCAGTCCAGGCATTCTGCTAATTTGGACTCCCTCCTGCTCAAGGACTATCTGTGGCTCCCCACTGCAGACACGGTATAACCCAGGCCTCTGAATAAGGCTTCTGAGCCCCCTTGACCTCTTCTTCTATAAAGCTTTCCCTGAGCCTCTCACTGCAAATGCTCTCCTTTCCAGGAGCTCTCATGCAGCCCACCTACCCATCCCCGTGACTTCTACCACCCCCAACTCAAGTCAGCCACCGTGTTCCCATCTCTTTCCCAGGAAAAGGCAGGGTCTAGTCTGACTCATCTGGCACCATTGAGCAGATGGGCCCTGAACAGGCACCCACAGGCGGTGTGTCCCTCTCAATTGCCCCAGGAGGGGCCCAAGGGTGAGGAGTGCACCCTACACTGGTTCCTTCCGCTGAAAACCCGGGGCCGTGCTCTGCTTTACTGTGCACCTTGTGGGGAGCCGGCGGGAAGAAGGGCTGAGCGGGGGCAAAGCCAGCGCACCTGCAGGCTATGGCCGATCCACCAGTAGAAGACGGTGAGGTTGGGGTTCAAGGGAAGCAGCACAGCTGTGAGGTTCACCTCCTGGTTGATGCCAATGACAGGAACCACCTCCAGGTAGAGGGCCTGCAGGGGGGCTGTGGGGACCCAAAAAGGCCAGAGTTATTTCATTTCAGAGGCTGCTTAGTGATCACTGTCACCAGCAACTTCATTGCTACCACCACCGTCACCACCACCACTATCACCACCACCACCACCACCACCAGCATCACTACCACCACCATCACCATAACTACCACCACTGTCACCATTATCACCACCACCTCCACCACCATAATCACTGCCATCACCACCACCATAATCACTGCCATCACCATCACCAGCACCATCACCACCATCACCATCCATCCTACCATTACTATCACCACCACCACCACCACCTATCCCAACCACTACTGTTACCATCACCACCACCCTATCACCACCATCATCACCAACACCACTACCACTGCCACCATCATCACCACCACCCTATCACCACCATCATCACCATCACCACCATCACCATCACCAACACCACTACCATTATCACCATCACCACCACCACTGCCGCCATTATCACCACCACCTCCACCATCATCATCATCACCATCACCACCACCATCACCATCCTCACCACAATTATCACCACCATCATCACCAACACCACCACCATCACCACCACCACTGCCACCATTATCACCACCACAATCATCACCATCACCATCACCACTGCCACCATTATCACCACCACCTCCACCATCATCATCACTGCCATCACCACCATCACCACCACTATCACCATCATTATCACCATCCTCACCACAATTATCACCACCATCACCAACACCACCACCAATGTCACCATCATCACTACCACCTCCACTATAATCATCATGACTACCATCACCACCACCACCAGCACTGCTATCACCATCATCACCATCACCACCACCGTCACCACCATCACCACCTGTATCACCACTACCACCATCACCACCACCACTGCCACCGCTATCATCAACATCACCGCCAGCTCCCAGCACTGCCCTACTATTGTATGGGTCATTGGGGTGTGGGTTTGAGCCCAGCCTCCCTGCCTCCCTGCCCTTGGGTTCACCGTCCTGAGTACCAGGGACCTAGAGCAGTCCCGAGGGAGTCCCTGTGTTTCCCCCAAAGCCAGGTTCTCTGTCTCAAAGTGAGTGACCCTTGGCCTCAAAGGGGCGATAAACTTACAGTTGACCTGGACAAAGAGGACTGCCTCATCGTGGCCCGCCGTGTTCTCTGCTCTGACGGACACGCGGTAGATGCCGGGGCTCTCATAGCGGTGCCAGATGGGCTCCCCGGTCAGTGTAAGGTTCACGTACATGGCCTTGAAGCCATCCCCAAGGTCCAACTGGTACTTGGTGGTCAGGACGTCGCCCTGCAGGGGAACACCACGTAGCCACTCAGGAGTGGGCCTAGAAGCTGAGGGGCCAGAGTGGTTCATTCACTCACTCACTCATTCATTCATTCCCGCCCTCCTTTCCTTGAAATGAGTGGGCTCTGGGGACCCACAGGGGAGCGGGCCTGGTTCTGCCCTGGAGATTCTGCCTGGAGTGTGGGGCTGGCCAAGGCAGTTGGTTTAACCAGGGGCTGTGGCCCAGGGGCATTTCAGAACAATCACCCAGCGGCAGAGAGGGAGAGGGAGAGGCCCAAGGGTGTCATCAGAGAGCAGCAAGGGGGCAGTCAGGGCCCCGGGGAGACCCTCTGAGGCCCATGCCAGCGATGGAGCCAGGGGGGTGAGGGGCCTCCCACAGCGTGGAGAGTTCCGGCAGGGGAGAGGCACACATCTGGAAGTGCCTAAGCGGCCTGCCTGGAAACCAAGCAGGATTTTCCCTTCTGGGAGACTGCGGTTCCTAATTTTCTCTTTCTCAGACCATGCAGTACCAGGAGTGATGCTGAGATGGGGCAGGGTGGGTGCAGAGAAGAGCTCCCACCAACTGCCATCTCTGTGTGGCACTGAGTCACCCACAGAGGCCTCTCCACCATCTCCTTCCACCTTCCAATGACCGCGTTTTCCTTGCTGAGTGGGAGATTGAGTGAAGGAAACAGGAACTTCTTCGACTTTACGGCTCATGATCACATTCTCCCTCCCTCCCTTCCTCCCCTCCTCCCCTTCCCTCTTCCTCCCTCATCAGTACCAGGGACACGAGGAAACTATTTCCTAGTGGTGATGATGGAAACAGCATGATTACTACCACTTAGCCATCTTCTCAGTTTATACCAACCAAATGTTGAAAGTTGACAGAAAACTTTTACATAAATTCTATTCACTTAACTTTCTCCAGACATGGTAAATTGGGTTGCTCAGTGTCTCCCCAAAATTCACATCTACCAGGAACCTCAGAATGTCACCTCATTCGGAAATAGGGTCTTCACAGGTGTCATTAGCTAAGATGAGGTCATACTGGATTAGGGTGGGCCCTAAATCCAATGACAGGCATCTGTGTAAGAGAAAGGAGAGGGAGATTTGGGCACAGACGGAGGCTGCGTGGAGGTGGAGGCAAAGACGGGAGTGACTCTGCCAGGGGCCAAGGAGTGCTGGGAGCCCCGGAAGATGGAGGAGGTGCAAATGGATTCTCCTTTGGAGCTTTGCATTGGTTCAGGCCACCCGGCATGAGGTCATTTGTTATGGGGTCCCCAGGAAAGAGGCTGCAGGGTGCTCCATTCTCCCCATTTGACAGGTTAGAAGACTGAGGCTCTCCAAAGTCCAGGAGCCAGGAGGCTGCTCGCTGTTTGTGGTTCTCTCTGTTTAAAGGCAGCCTCTGGGGATGGGGCAGGGAATGAGGGGAAGTGCTCCAGTTTGAGCTGCTTCCACGGAGGGAGGGGTTTACTGTGCTAATCCTGGGAAGGAGAAGGCATGTGTGACCCAGAGTCAGGACCCGTGATCCGCTCACCCTGGGTGAGGCGCCAGCTCTCGGGGCCTTGCGTTTCTGCATTTAAGTGCTGCACTGATGCACATTTAACTACTTAAACATTTTCCTTGGTTAAAATAACTTGTCCTTTTTCCTCCTCACCACACATTCTCAAGGTAGAAAATAATATACCATAATAATATACTATAATACAAGGTAGTATATTCTCAAGGTAGAAAATAATATAAAATACAAATAGCAAATAAAAGAAAAAGAAAAAAACGAAATCTCACCATAATACCTGCCATTCACATCTTGGCATATTTCATTCAGATCCATCATTATTACTGGTGCTTAAAAAAAATAAACATTTTCTTCTGAGATAATGGTAGGTTCCTATGTAGTTATACGGAATGATACAGATCCACCCCGTGTGCCCCGTGCCCGGCTCTCCCCAAGGCTAACATCTTGCCAAACGATAGTATCACAACTAGGAGGTTGACATTGATACAGGAAGGAGACAGGACAATTCAGCGGCCACTAGGACCCCACCCGGTACCCTTCGCAGACACACCCACTTCCCTGCATTAGCCCAACTCCATGGTAACCACTAATCTTTCTCCATGTCTATAATTTTGATGATAATTTCTATTCTCTTTCTCCATTTCTGTATTTGAAGAGTGTTATGTGAACGAGTTGCACAGCAGGGGATCACGTGGGAGTGGCTTTTTTCACTCGGCATAATCCACCTGAGGCTCATCCAGGTTGTTGCACCTTTTTTTTTTTTTTTTTTTTTTTTTGAGATGGAGTCTCGCTCTGTTGCCCAGGCTGGAGTGCAGTGGTGCGTTCTCGGCTCACTGCAAACTCTGCCTCCCGGGTTCACGCCATTCTCCTGCCTCAGCCTCCCGAGTAGCTGGGACTACAGGCACCCACCACCACGCCCGGCTAATTTTTTTGTATGTTTAGTAGAGACGGGGTTTCACCATGTTAGCCAGGAGGGTCTCGATCTCCTGACCTCGTGATCCACCCGTCTCGGCCACCCAGAGTGTTGGGATTACAGGTACGAGCCACCACGCCTGGCCTTTTATTTTTTTTTTAAGACAGTGTCTCACTCTGTTGCCCAGGCTGGAGTACAGTGGTGGAATCTTGGCTAACTGCAACTTCCAACTCCCAGGTTCAAGTGATTCTCGAGCCTCAGCCTCCCAAGTAGCTGGGATTACAGGCATGCACCACCACACCTGACTAAGTTTTGTATTTTTAGTAGAGACAGGGTTTCGCCATGTTGGCCAGGCTGGTCTCGAACTCCTGACCTCAGCTGATCCACCCACCTCGGCCTCCCAAACTGCTGCGATCACAGGCGTGAGCCACCGTGCTTGACCCTGCTGCAGGTATTAATAATGGATTCCTTCTCATTGCAGTGTGGTATCTCAGCATGGGTGCACCCCAGCCTGTGCAAACATTTGCCCATTGCAGGGCCTCTGGGTGGTTCGAGTTTCTGGCCTTTACAAATAACACTGCTATGAACAGACACATACAGGTTTTTGGGTGAAGAGAAGTCTTCATTTCTCTGGTATGACCGCCACGAGTGCAAGTGCTCAGTCCTCTGCTCCTTGCATGTTGAGTTCGTTAAGAAACTGCTGAAGTGTTTTCCAGAACACCTGTGGCATTCTCCAGTCTCCCCAGCCATGCATGAGTGATCCAGTGCCCTTCCCTGCATCCTCACCAGTACTTCGTGTTGGCGCTGTTTTTAATGTCAGTCATTCTGATAGGTGTGCAGTGATGTCTGGCTATGGGCTTCCCTGGTGGCTGATGGTGTTGACCCTCTTTTCGTGTGCTTACGTGTCATGTGTCCATTCTCCTGGTGAAACGTCTTTTCGGTTCTTCTGTTCATTTTCTAACTGGATGCTTTGTTTCCTTGCTGTTAAGTGTTCTTCCTCTAGTCTAGGTACTGGTCCTTGTTGGATACGTGGTTTGCAAATATTTTCTCTCACTCTGTAGCTTGCCTTTCATCTTCTTAACATGGCCGTTCCACAGAGCAAAAGTGGCTAATCCTGAGGAAGCCCAATTTATCAACTTTCCTTTTGACTGGCTTTGAGTGTGAAGTCTGAGGACTCTTCTTCCAGCCCTAGATATTCTCTCCTGTGGTTTTTCTAAAAGGTTTATGATTTTTACATGCCACATTTAAATCTAGGCAATTTTGAGTTCATTTTTCTGTCGGGCGTGAGGTTGAGGTTGAGGTTGAGGTTCATTATTATTGGATGAATAAGCCCTCCCCTCAGTGAGTTGTTTTCGCACCAACATCAAACATCCCTCGGATATATTTACATGGGTTTATTCCTGGGGCCTCTATCAGACCTTCTTTTTAATTAAGATACTTACAAAACTCAGACTCCCCTAAACCCAGTGCTGTTTGCAAGAGTAGGTTGGCCTATGTGTGTGAGAGAGTGTATGTTTGAATGTGTACAAATCTGTCTGCGAGTTTGAGAGTGAATACATGAGCGTGTAAGCGTATGTGTGTCTGTGTGTGAGTTTGTGTGTATGTGTGAGCATGTATACCAGTGAGTGTGTACGTCCACCCTGGACCCCACACTCCCACCCGCTTCCCTAGCGTAGCGGGTGGCCTCTTCCTGATAGTAGGTGCACGGTGGGGTGGGGGTTGGCTCTCCCCACCAGGAGCACCTTTTGATCACTCTCCTCGCTTCCACCAACTCCAGCTCCTGCCCGCAGAGTATCCCAGCAAGGGTCCGGGCCCCCTGGGCAGGTGGTAGACTGGCTCCCATAGAGACTGCAGATGCGACTGCACTGCGGAGACGCCAGGCTCTAGGGGGCAGCAGAGGGCCATTTTTCCTGGATGTCGGCCCTGGACGGGCAGTCACAGCGGAGTCCACTCTGAGGGTCCAGGCGGGGCAGCAGCTCTGTTCTCCTGCCTACCCAAGATGCTGCTGGGAACAGAGGCTCCCCAGGGCTGCCCCTGGCTCCGAGGAGTGTGGGTTCCAGGGCCCATCTCCATCAGCAGCCGCACTAGCACCAGGAAACGGCTCAGGTCTGGGGGCCCCTAGACTCGGTCTCTGTCCACATAGAGTCTCAAGGGCCAGGGACCCCAATGCCAGCCCTGCCACTCATTCCCGTGTGGCCTTGGGAGAGTGACTGCACTGTCCGAGCCTCAGTTTCCCTAGCTATAAAGCAGGTTGGCAAGAGGATGCCACTTGAGGTGGTGCCAGGAGTACAGGCAGTGGCTGGTGCACAGCGCCCGCCATGGAGGCACTTGGCAAGCACCGCTCTGCGTCCTCTTGGGCCTCAGTTTCCCTGTTTGCATTAGACCAGGCTCCCTGCTTTCCAGCTCCAAAGACCTTTGTCACCAACATCCCACCCCACCTATTTTGAAGGACATTTAAACAGGACACACATCATTGTGAAGCTGCACTTGCTTCATCCCCCGTACTGTTCATCAAACAACCAAGTGCCCAGGAAAGCTACGTGCCAGGAGAGCGCCCAGGGTCCTAGGCACTCACCCTCCGGGTGCGACACGGAGGCATCGAACTCTCCTTTGCTCTTTTCTGTCATCTTGAATTTTCTGCAATGCTTGTAAATTTTTCTAGGTTTTGTTTTTGAATTTGCTACAATGAGCATTAGTTTATTCAACCATCAGAAAAATAAGCACGTTACAAATTAATTTAAAAAGACTAGAAGGAAATACAAAAAACTAACAGTTGTTACCATGGAGGACTGGGGGGCTTTGGGAGAGATATTTATACTCTTGATATTTTGTGTGTGTTTTCCAAATGTTCTACAATGAACATTCATTATTTTTAATGCCAGAAGAAAATATAACACTTGTTCTAAAGCAAAAAAAGCAAGCCTGGGAGGCTAGGAGGAAATTTCTATCTGTGTTTCTGTGAGTATTTATATCTGTATCTGTCCATGCACACACAGGATTTATTTTTGGTTGTGTAATTATAAGTAATAGTGTTTTTAACTTTCTGTTTTTCATAAGATCCCAAATTAACTAAATCGATATAATTACAGGCTTAAAAAATGTATTGCCACCCACAGGAATGAATACATTTTATACCAAGGCCAGTAACCACACACGCTCCCCCGATGTGTGAAACCACGTCTCCTTCTGCTCTTTGGAGACCCTGATACCCCCTACATCCTGCTCTATTCTTCTCCGTGTCTCTCTCACTGGTAAATGCTGGTCTGGACCCAGGAAGTAGATTTCCAACCCCCTGCTGCCTCCTGCAGTCTGGACAGCCTGGCTGATGGCGATGCCCTGAGCCACTTCTAGGCAGAGGAGACACCCTTCACCATGCCCTCTGCATGCCCAGTTGGAGCCACCCCTGCCCGACAGTCCTGGGAGCCCGCTGGGAGGTGCTCACTCACCTGCTCCTGCCGCACCACAAACAGGACGTCCTCTCCAGGCCACATGGCCACCGCCTCACCTTGGATGCTGACCTGCAGGCCCCGGAGCGGCGTGAGGGGGCACTGCAGCTGTGCCGGACTCTGCTGCAGGTCCACCCCACCCTCACACACGTTGGACACCACTTTCCGGTACCTGGATTGACAAGAGAGGGTCAGGGTCCACTTCAGACAGGTGGCGAAGGGTGGGGCCCCATAATCTGGGGAGGGACGTGCTTGCCACCCACAGGTGGCACTTGGCTTCCTACCCTAGGGCTCTGCTTGCTGACTCCCAGCCACCTCCCAGCTCCACCTGATTGCTATTGGCCCCGTTTCAGAGATGAGAACACCAAGGCTCAGGAGGAGGGACCGATGGTGGCAGGATGTGCTGGCGGTGCTGGCATCTCTGTGGTCACAGTCACATTACTCACAGTGATAGTAGCCTGTTAGTGCTGCCCAGAGCCCAGGTGTTCAAGCAACAGCTGAAATTTCATGGTCTTTCCGAGAAGGTGGAGGACAGAGTGCCGAGGAGGGGCTGGGGTCACTGCCACCGTTTCACAGTGTAGCTGTCATGACCATGAGCACCCACCTCCTCTAGGCTCCGTCTCCCTATTCTCTTGGGGAGACCTGGATTGGGCGATTAAGTGACTCATCGCCGCATTGAGACACCTATTTACTACAGGCATCTGGTAACGGGCCAGGTGCTGGGAATGGGGTGTTTTGCCTTTGACCCCTAGATGCTATGCAGAGCAGACCCTGTAAGTGGAGGCAGAGGCGGACCGGGCGATCACGTCAGAGGTAGAGCCACGGCTGTGGCCCAGGCGCTGGCTGGGAGGCACCTGGGACTGGTCCTGACAAGGGAGCTTTCAGCTGGAGACTGGGAGGGGTGAGCAGGAGGAAGAAAGAGCATCCCAAGCCAGCCCCAGAACAGCAGCATGTACAGAGAGGCGCTTTAGGGTGGGTGCTGAGCTGGAGAGAGGCAGGTGTGGCATGAGGCTGGAGAGGGGGCCCTGGGCAACATTTTTGGGAGACCGCTAAAGGGTGGCCTCATCAGCTACTTGTGAAGCTCCCTCAGGCTACACTATGAGCCTGTAGGCTTGACGTTGCTGCCAAGGTGCTGGGGTACCTGTCTCCCAAGGTGGATCCCCCTCTTGCCTCAGGGTCAAATTCTCCCAGATGGCTCTGCCGTTAGAATAAGCATTCAGAAGTTGATCATGCCTGACCCATTTGATTAGTGCTTTGCAGAAATACCCTTCTCTAAGGGCTACCTACCCATGGCACCTACAGTGTGCAGATGGTATGAGGTGAAATCCTTTGCCTTGATCAAGGTCCTGTCTGACACTTCAGACAAGAGTACCTGTTGCTCAAGCCCTGATGGATATGCAACTGCTGAGCTTACCATGATACATGATGTGCATGGGTAGACAGATGGATAGATAAGTGGATTGATGGATTGATGGGCGGTGGGTAGATGAATGGATACATGGTGGATGGATAGATGGATGGGTAGATGGATGAATGGATGATGGATGGATGGAGTGGGTGGGTGGATGATGGATAGACATGGGTAGATAGAGGGATAGGTAGATGGATGGATGGATGGATTGATGGATGGTGAATGAATAGATGAATGGTAGATGGATAGATGAATGGATGGATGGGTACATGGATACAGGACAGATGGATGCATGGACAGTGGTTCAGTGGGAGATAGTGGGATGGATGGAAGATGGATGGATGAATGAATGAGATGGATAGGATGGATGGATGAATGGATGGATGAATGAATGGATGGATGAATGAATGGATGGATGGATGAATGAATGGATGGATGAATGAATGGATGGATGGATGAATGAATGGATGAATGAAGAGATGATGGCTAACTGGATGATGGGTGGATAAATGGGTAGATGGGGGATGAATGGGTGATGCATGGACAGGTGGGTGGACGGCAGCAGATATGCTGGTGAAGACCCAAAGCTATACAATTTCTGGTCCACCACCTCTGTTTCCCTCCCATGTTCCCTCAGGAAGTAATGAGGATTTTCTGACAAGCCCATGGGCTTTTCTCTTCCTCTCTGAAAATGTTCTCAAGAGAAATGGGAAATTGGGACTTCTGGATGGGCATGTGGGGACCTCCTAAAGATGAAGACTCACAGCTCTTATGTACTAACATTTTGCATAAGACGGAATCCCTTCGCCTTAATATGCCCAGCCTCTGGTGGAGGAAAAGTATCATAACTGCTTGCATTTGGTGATGCTGTCCCTTCATGAGCAGCTTGTACTCAGCCTCTACCACAGACTGAAAGGAGACACCTACTGTATGTTGTGGAGCTTACAGTTCAGCAAGAGGACAATTGGGTGAGTGATGACAATAACTGGGTTTGTGCTGTGACAGAGCAAGCTCGAGGTCAGAGTGGGTGGTCAGGAAGGCTTCCTGGAGAGTGCCATTTAAAGCTGGACCTTGCAGGCAGCAGACACCTCCTTTTAGGCAGGCAGATGCGGGAGGGCCTGGTTTGCTGGGCACCAAAGTGATGGGGAAGGGTCCTAGCACTGCAGAGAGGCTCAGAAGAGGCCAGGGAAGGCGTGCTGCAGCAGGTGTGAGCCACGGGTGCCTTGGACTTTTCTGTCTATTGTTCTCTGTCAGAGCCAACTCAAGGCAGCTTTCTCCTGGCACTGCTTGCGACTCAGATGGGAGAAGCCTAGGGCTCCTTTGTACAGGAGCTAAGGTGACTCACATGAGTCCGCGGCCAGGTTCTGTGCTGTGAGTGCGGCACCTCAGCATGACCTCTCTTTCCCGGCTCGCCCGGGAGCTGCAGGCACCAGCATGGTTTGGGACTGTACCGCAGCTCTGACCCCAGATTTGGAGGCAGGGAGAGGCCCACACCACACTCACCCAAGGCTGCTGGTGTGGGGTGTGGGGCTGTCGTCAGGCGAGGACAATGGATTAAACCAGAAGTTGGCAGAGCACTTGTTGGTGTTGGACTCTGAGGAGGGCGCTCGATCGTGATCGCTGGGAGGAAAGAGCAGTGGTGGTGACAGGCACAGGTGGGAACAGGGAGTCAGCCAGGGTTTGGGGTGGAATCTGAGGCTGAGAGGGAACCTCATGCCAAGGAGCCTGCTATGCACCCATCTGTGAGGACAGGAAGGAGCCTCCCCACAGCCCACATCAGAGGGCAACCTGGAGTAACAAAGGAGGTAAGGGATGCTGAGCTCAGGAGAACCTGGGGCTGCCCCTGGAGGTGAGCAAATCTCAGGGATGAGACAGAGACGAATTAGGGAAGAGAGGAGAGGAGAGGCCTGCTGGCAGGGCCCAGCCTGAAGCAGCACCAGTACAGGTGGAGGCTGGAATGCCAGGGGCAGGATGGGGAGGGGTGAGGGTGGGTGGCAGGTGGGTGGGCTGTCAATGGGTGTCCCTGTGGGCACTGGGCAGTCATGGGCAGCTTTTGGGAACAGCAGGACAGGTCGGGTGGCTTTCAGCGGAGTCCTTGGATGGAGAGGGGCCGGGGTGGTGCAGCATGTCCCCAGAAAACGCCTAAACCTGTTCCTCACTTTCTCCTCCTGCCTGTGAGCAGCCACTGAGAGGTCTAAAATGCACCACATTCCTTGACTCCTTCCTGGAGTGTGGGCTGGTGTTGGTGACCTAAGTTCTAACAGATAGAATGAGGCAGGCGTGGCGGTGTCACGACTCTCCGCCCAGGTTATAGAAGCACTGAAGCTGCCCATATAAGAGCGGCCATGCTGTGAGATGCTCAAGCAGCACCTGAGGCCCCACAGCGAGGGGCCCTCGCTCACCACCAGGAAGTCCGAGTCCGGCACTGCGCACACGCGAGGCGTGAGCGCGGAGTGAAGCTCCTCCTTGATGCACCAGGATGTGGACTTTCTCTTGGAACTTCTCCCCAACTGGCTTCCCGCCAGTGCAGCGTCTCGCCCTGCAGCAGGAACATCAGGAGTGAGGAGTTGCCAGAGCTGGTCAACTGCTCTGCGTGGGCTTCATGCTGCTGGGAGCCCCCAGGCCTGGGTAACTGAGGGCTCAGGTTACAGATAGGAAACTGAGGCCCTGAATGAGGCATGTGGCATGTCTGGTCAAGTTTTGAGGCCTCCCTCTCATCCCAGCCCACGGGCATTCACTGAGCCCACTCCTGTGTGCAGCCCTGGCTGTTAAGGTATGAGAGCTGCTGGAAGTGCAACCCCTTTGAGGTTCCCCTTGTCCCTCAGGTGCCAATCAGGAGCTGGGCTGGAGTCACAGCCTTGAGGGCTCACAGCACACAGTGGGCCCTCGGGGACAATCAGAACAGAACAGGTACCCCATCTCCTGCAGCAGCTGCTGTGGCAGTAATGAGGCGGAGCCGGTGAGAATGCCCTGTGGCCTGTGTTGAGCTCCTAAAACCTCCTCCTGGGTACATCTAGGCACTTCCTTGTGAAATCCAGCTTCAGCAATGCCCTGCTAGGAGCCAGTTTGGCAACCGCCTTCAATACCTGATCTCCTCCCTAGCCGACAGGCTTCCTCTACATCCCCCTGCTGCCCCCAGGTGATGTCCGATCCTCGATGCCTGCTGTTTCCTCTTGGTCAGTTTCCACCCACTGACCTTGGCTCTGAACTCCCCATTGCCACGCTGAATTCGTTGAGCCCAGTCTCTCCTTTGAGAGGTCCTGCACCCGTGATGGCCCTGAGTAAGTCTTCCACCGTGTGCTTTAACAAGTGCCATTCGAGTCATTTCTTCATCAGGGCCAACCACCCCCAGCGGTTCAGGCCCCGCACCCCTGGGTCCCAGGCTTCCTACCACACCGCCAGCCGGCACAGCCTGAACCCACCCCCCAGCAGTTCAGGCCCCCTCTAAGTCCCAGGCTTCCCCACCGCCCAGCAGCACAGCCTGATTGAGACCACAGAGGCAGCACTGATGGCCTTTGCTCAGCTTAGTGTCCATGTTACATTTGCTGTAGAAACAGTTGTGTGTCTACGATTACAGGTGGGGCTGCTTGAACCCACTCCCACCCCAGACCCACTGTCATTGTGTGGGACAGGCCTGTGTTACCTTCTAAGATCTAGTTTCATCCTGTGAACCCCAAGCACACTGTAGACTCCACGGGCTGAGGTAGAGCCTGTGGCCCCACACTCTCAGTGTGGCTGAGGGACCTTCAGCCCAGGTAGCT